AAAAAAAAGAGAGAATTATGCTTCTTACAGCTTTTGAAGACGTTCGAAATCCCTCATCGCAAGAACATTCGTCTACGCATTCGTGTTGGAATTCACACTGGTACGGTAGCAGCTGGTGTTGTTGGTCTGACAGCTCCACGATATTGCCTCTTCGGTGATACCGTAAGTTACTAATGTCATAAGTATTGAAAATGCTGTAATTACTAAGAATTTTATAGGTAAACACGGCATCAAGGATGGAATCAACAGGAGAACCGGAAAAGATTCAAATGTCTGAATCTTCCAATGATATGATCAAAAAGTATTATCCAGAATACCAAACGGAGCTCAGAGGAACAATTCAAGTCAAGGTTCGCTAGCTAATTATGCTCTTTTCCAGCAATCTATGGCTCTAATGCAAAGAAAAAAGTTAAAATAGTCATTCTTTCAGGGTAAAGGAGAATGCACAACGTACTGGTTGTTAGGCAGAGGGTGAGCTAATGAACACTTCCACATTCAGAAGCCTCCAGACAGGGATTTATTGTCTCATAAAACAAATTTAGTGTTAAATTTGTCCTCAACTGTTCGAGTTAACTTCTTCAGTGCAATGCTACTACATCCTTTCAAACAAAGTTTTCCCAACTCATGAACTCTTTGTTTTAAATCTATGTACATTTCCAACAGCTGAGAATCACTGACCAACCCTTTCCTGAACTTGCTCCATGAATCATTTTAGAACATTATATGTATCTTTTTTCTATTGAAGAATTTCCATTCTCCTACTTCAATCTATACTAATCTGTTATGGGACAGCTCAATATTATGTAGTACGTTTAGGTTATGCTACTTTGTGTTGTTTATACCTTGATTCTGTGAATAAGCCGTATCCTTTGAGCTCTGTTGGGCACAAGACCGCGGCCCAACGCGGGAGGAGCACGCGCCGCATCTGCGCGCAGTACGGTCTTGATAAATATGGTGTGCACAGCTGAGAGGATAGTGCGCTCTAATGAAGCATGTGCGACACGCCGCGCGTTTGCCCTGCCCGATAGAGTTCTCAGGGTGCGGCTTATCTATGGGAAATGAGGGTAATGTTTCTTGGGATTTTGAAAAACTACGAGTAGTTATATAGTTAGAAGGCAATACGTTACTATGAGACTCCTCTATATTAATTTTGATTTTGAAGGTGTTTTTTTTTCTTAAAATTACTTAGAATTTGAAAGCTTATTGCTTGTGAAAACAATGGGAAATCTGTTTTTATTTGATTGAAATAAATATGTTCTCAAACATGTTACTTTGGTGAGCTCAGTCTTCTTCCAGTGCGATAGACAGTCACTTTTTCGGAGTTGGCCCCAAGCGTTGCATTATCCGTGTCGACGCGAAGCGGGCCAGCCGCTGCCTTTCCTACAAACTGCTTGGTGCGATCGAATTGACGCGCTAAAAGTGAAGCCAGTGCGTCGCGTGTTGCGCAGAGCAACGAGTTTGTCATAAATTCTCTTAGGCTTTGGCATTTTGTAATTACCGTTTTTATAGATGCAAA